CCGATCTGCAGCAGAAGACCGGAGATGCATATGCACAAGACCCGATTTATAGTGAATTGTTGAAGAGAGTAAAGGAAGCCCCAGATAGCGAACCGCACTATCGAACCACAAACGGGCTACCGTTTGAGAAGACCAACGCCGTTGATAGACTCTGCATCCCCAATAGTGAAGACATCCGTAGTCTGATCCTAGGGGAATGCCACGATACAGAAGGGCACTTCGGCTGACAAAAGACTCTAGCTATCCTGATGACGTCCTACATGTGGCCCGACATGAAAGTGGACTGCATAAAATATGTGCGCAGCTGCAAAGTTTGCCAGCGCAATAAGACGACGACTAGAGCACCATTAGGTCTTCTCAAACCGCTGCCTATTCCATCAGGACCCGGAGAGTCAGTTTCCATTGACCTTGTGGATACTGGGGTCAGAAGTAGGCATGGAAAAGTCAAGTCATGGTCATAGTAGATCGATTTAGTAAGTATGCAGTTTTGGTTCTGCTACGGGCAGAAGCGCGGACAATTTTAGTAATAGGAAAATTGTTTGATTTCTGGGTAAGCAAGCATGGCATGCTGCTGTCCATATTTAGTGATAGGGACACGCGGTTTACCAGCCAGAATTGGCAGGATCTTATGAAAGTCTATGGATCTAAGTTGGTGATGTCATCAGGTCAACACCCAGAGACGAACGGTCAGACAGAGCAGATGAATAAGATCTTGCAGCAGTTACTCAGAATGTATATTAGACCGGATTAAGTGAACTGGGATGAGATGCTCCCCAAGGTAGCCAGCACGTATAACAATAGTGTTCACCTAGCTACCTGTAGAACTCCTAACGAGCTGTGTAAGTCCTTTAGACCAAGGAGGCCTTTTGAAGGACTGAACCGAGACCAGATTCAGAGACTACCACCCGGAACTGGAGAATTTGCACTGCAGCTCGAAAAGGAAGTCGCCATAGTGATTGACAATCTTAGAAAGGCCCAACATTGTATGATAGAACAAGCTAACAAGCATCGCCGACCTTCGCAGTTTCAGGTAGGCGACTTAGTCTGGGTCAAGTCCAAAGAGTTTACACCGGAGGAGAACATCTCGCAGAAGCTCTTACCTGCATATAGAGGACCATGGCCTGTCCTAGAAGTCAGAGGAGGAGAAGACGAACCATCATACACAATAGAGATCCCACCGCACCTTCACACGTACCCAATCTTCCATGCGTCCAAGTTACTTCCATGCATTGTATCCAACACATTCCCTTCACGCAGATCGATGATTCTGCCAGATATGGATGGTGCATACGACATAGACCACATAGTGCAAGAGGACGTGTTTAGAACTGGAGGTCGAGGTCGTCCCTAGAAACAATATGAAGTTAGGTTCGCAAATCAGGAACCAGAGGACGACACATGGTTTACTAGAACAGAGCTGTTGGAAACTGCTCCCGACATAGTACACGCCTATGAAAGGGAAAGAAAGGGTAAAGGTCCTATCTTGAGTTAGAGTGTTCTCGGAGGACCTCGAATTTAGGACGGCGGGAGTGAAACCGTTTCACCCAGTTGACCCGACATTTGCAGACACTGAGATTCGATCCCTAGAATTGTGCCGGAACCCTGTACGTTGACCCCCGTGCCTGTGTGAGATTCGAACTCGAGACCTGTTCTGTGTCACAGGTTTGGCTGTAGGTCGGGTAGGTGGACTCGATCCCTAGGTCTGTAGGTTAGTAGTTAAGTCTGTTACCAGTAGCCCTAGTGAGGTCTGTTCTAGAAGTCTCTACCTGAGTCTACTGAGGGCCTAGAGTCAGTCCGTAGGTCTGTAGGCTCTAGAAGGCTGTAGGTCCCTGTAGGCCGGCCCGGTCAGCAAGTATCAGGGAAGGGCTGCACATGGGGGAAGGTTCTGGCCACGCGGTATGCAGAAGGCTCCGGAAACGCGTTATGGCCCAGAGGGCCCACACGTTTTGGGCCTACCAGGTCTACGCGGCCTGGAAGATTCCAGACCCGGGTCCCACGCGGTAAGGGGCCAGGCCCACGCGTTTTGGCCCTGGGCCACACGTTTCGGCCCAGGCCCGCCCGTTTTGAGGCAGGGCCCGGCCGCCTCCGAAGAAGTATAAATAAAGAGGCAGTGTCCAGCCATTCATTCATTCGCCTGTGAGCCATGCGGAAGCGCTGCCTTGGTGACTTGTGTGTGGAGGTCTGCCGGTGCCCGGAGCTGAAGTGGGGAGTGAGGAAGACACCGGCCATAGCTGACCAGGAGGACGACGACGACGGCCATAGCCGCCCAGCTGCTGACACAGACAGTGTACAGAGTGTGTGTGTATGTGTAGCGTGGGCATTCAGGGTAAATCCTCGGACATGTGTACATGAGTGAGAGTGAGGCTGGTGGTGAAGACAATTTTCGGCGGTCAGAGCCGCAAGTTGTACAGTTGACTGGAACTGAGTTTTAAGTGCAAGTTCATTGTTGATTCTGAGTTGGAGAAGTTGGTTTGCCATCGGTTTGTCCATGTATGTGTGTTGCAAGCAAGTTTGGAGTGCAGTCCGATTTCAAATTCAAAAAAAAAAAAAAAAACAGTGTGACCCAATTTTTTTTGTTTTGTTTTGTTTTCTTTTTTTTTTGCTCCCCAAACGGCCGAACGCATCCGCAAGGGGTCCCGAACGTTCGGGCGTTCGGCCCCTCCCAAACACCGGTTACCCTGTATATATATATACACATTCTATTTGACGATATATATATACATACATATATATATCGTCATATATATATACATATATATCGTCACAAACAGAACTGCCCGGTAAACCGTAGGCAGAGAGAGAGAAGAGGACAACAAACGAGGGGCTGTGACATATATATAATATATATATATATATATATATATATATATCATTTTCGGCCTGGCCAGGCAAGTGGTCCCGGGCCACTCTGGTAACATAGATGTCTAGTCAGTACCATACTTGCGGCGCATCGACGTGCGCTGCACCGCGCATACGCGCCGCACTGCGCACAGCGCACGACACACGCGCATGGGGTGCGGCCGAAAATAAGGGGTCGAGAAAAAAAAAAACTTGGGAAGGGGTGTTTTAGACCCGAGTGGGATGTCGCGTCATAAACCACAAAAACATATTAACAAAAATTTGAGGCCGCGCGGGGCCTCCGAAAAAAAAAAAGGGGGAAGTTCGTTTTTTTGTTTGTGTGTGTGTGTGTGTGTGTGTGTGTGTGTGT